ATTAACTTCGTCACACAAGTACAATTTTATTCGCGATAAACGGAGAATTCATGTGATACTAATGTTATCTAATTACCGCTCTATTGCATTGCATGTCTGACAATGCCTTTGCTTCATATTATCCACGTAGAAAGCTTTCATTCCTATCCTATCACTCCAACTATTTCTTCAATGCCAGAACCAAAAGTCCATTACCTACTGTACGATCCATCGAAACCGCATATTCTAAATACTATCGAATATATCGCATACACTACTCTCTCTAGAATCCCATTTCCGATATCAAAAATACTCCGACAATAGCTTTGGAATCTCCCTATAAAAGAGATTTGCGGACTTGTAGACAGCAACATGGTTGAAAGACGAACAGATCGTCGCTCTGTACATGTTATATAAATGTATCATAAATAATATTTTTTTTAATAGAAAAAAATATAAGATACTCAATTCTCTGAAAAAAAGCTCAATTTGTAATATTTTAAAAACTGCTCCAAGTATTATTATTTTAATTTGTCCACATTTTTGAACGAAATATTTGATAATCTTTTCTTGAATCTATAAAAATTGACTGTAACTGAAAGCGATCAATTAATTATATTGCTAGACTCGCGTAAGTATAATCGCGTTGTTTTTAGTATTTAGCTTGAGCAATGACAAATAATGGGCCACGTAATCAATTCGCAAGATCAATCTTTGAATTAGTAATTAAGTTGCGCGTTTAGAGAGATTTGCTCAGATTCGTCGAGATTGTTCGCCAAACTATTTAATCTATTTTTTTTCAGCAAAATACATACGGCTTTAAACTTTAATCATACCTGAACAATCTAAGCGCGAGTTAATTTATATTATAATACTGATTAAAAACTGGTTGTACTTTAATTTCTGATAAAAATTGCAATTATATTATTTCGTAGATTCATAGAAATCAACGTAGCTCATTTACAGTACACTTTAATATCATGATAGTGTACTTGTTTTGTAATATTCAGAGAAAATTTTCTCGAAAAAAGTTATTTAAAAAATTTAAAAAAAAAATTTTTTTAAAATAATAAAAAACATTTTAGTATATTGCGTTCGATTATGAATGTAGCTTCACAGGCGCGTTTCAGCCATAGAATTCTTTCGCTTACCAATTAACTAATTCCGTGTGATTTGTGAGACAGCCTTTTCGAAACGAGATATAAAGCGATCGGCTTGCACGTTAGTTTAATCGCAGGGTTGAGGCCGATTACAGGCCGGGATACTAAATTTGAGAGCAGAACTTGTTGTGCGAGCTATTAGCCACACTTCGGTAATTTTTATATTAAACTAGGTCGACGCTTAGATTATTTTATGCGTTGAACGCATTATCAAAATTAAAATTTAGTAGAATTATGATTATCAGTGTTTCCATGCGGAGATTAGTTGTACGTATTAATTTTCGTATTAACTTAAATAATTTACTACGATTCTGTGAAAATGTCATCAATTTTAAATGAAGTTGTAATGGACGCATATACTTTCGCAAAATCGCAAATTGTATAAATAATGCAAAATGCGGAATAATCACCATCTCTTTTTACGCTCTCTTGGATAATAAAGCTTAAAAATTGGAGTTTTTGATAAGCAAATTAAATACAAAAAAATGAATAAAAAGATAAAAATATTAGTAAACTATTTATAATATTTATAATATTTTAGAATTATTTACGAATTCGATTAATAATCACAATAGCACAACTTACAAGGAAACCTCGCAAACCCGAAAATTCTGATTTTGATGAAAATTTATACATGTAGAAGCGGTAAATCGACGAATTAAGAAATTTTTAGTTGCGGCTTAAAAATGATTCTAAGGGATAAAATCCATCCCTTATATGTAAAGCGACTTTATGCTTTTCACAATATATCTCGAAAATTATTCAAAAAATGTTTGATACAAAAGTTTTATGGTAAGAACACTTCTATTTAATCACATTAATAAAATTTTGAAAAAATAACTTTTTTCAAAGATTTTTGAAAAAACTTTTCAAAAATTATTTTTTTACATTTTATTACTGTGGTTAAATAGAGGTGTTCTTACCACAAAACTTTTGTATGAAACATTTTTTGATATCTCGAATAATTTTCAAAATGTATCGTTAAAAGCAAAAAGCCGCTCTACAATAAGGCTGTACATATGTGGGACGGTTTCATCCTTTAGAAAGGTGTTTTCGTTTTTGGATCGAAATATTTCTAAATTTACCCTCTATTTCTATTTACCCTCTCCTACATTTATGTGGTTTCATCAGAATTAGAATTTTCGGGTTCACGAGGTTCCCTTGTTAGGTTTCATTGACGTGGATCATATTATAATTATCATGGACGAACTTCATAGTACAATATACCGCGTAGTTTAATTTATGATACACTACCATACAATATAAGCAATAATTTATTTAAGTATATAATTTAGTTTTCTCAGAAAAAGTATATCTTTTTCAAATACTTGCTCGTTCAATTGTAACTTGACTTAATGCTTGATTTGAGAAGTGAAATGCTCTGATATTGCTGTTATAAGGAAAATGTAGGAAAAATCCACTTCGATCTCTATATTTACCTTATCTTACATTTTAACGCTGACATCGGAACTCGCTGGAATTCACTGAATATTCATGAGAAATTCTTTTAATGCAATTATTTTTTCTCCCGTCCACACTTTGTCTTGACGAATATTAATTAACTTCGCAATAAAATTATGTCACACGCGTCTTTTCACTAACTTCAATTTACAGTTACGGACGATGTGACCAATTATAAAAGAAATTCACAGAGAAAACTCAATTATAAAGACTTGTAAAGACTTTACATAACGTTGATACAATTAAGATTTCGTCCCCATCTTTTTTAATAGCAATTAATTCATTACAATTATAGTTAAAAATTTCTTTGTAATTATAACTAATTTACCATACAAAGGAACAATCTATAAAATGCTCATGTCATAAAATGTCAATATCGAGTCGTAACGGATGTTGAATGATTTTTGCTCTTTTACGTGCATGAAGATACAAAAGATTACGTAGAGTACGAAATGAAGACACGCAAGCTTTCGACATATGATACATCATTTGTGAGGCACATTTTTTCTTTCCTACTGATTGAAATATTAAGTTACCGTTTAAAATACGAAATCCCAGGTAGTTTCGCTAACAGAGACAATTTCTGACGTCGCATCTGCAAAATACATTTTGGATGCTTCCGTGAATTCAATCTCGGCTTCATTTGAATCATGAATTGTCCGAAATTTGCCACGGGAATACGTCACGACGGAAAACGAATGAAAGTGTAAAACTAGCCGGGTGCTTTGATAAATAGCTATAAATAGTTAACTGACGCGCCGTGGTTTTCTGCTCTGTTCGAGTAGTTCATAAATTATAAGACACAGTAGACCGAGAGTTTCGCTTAGTTTGAGCGAAATGTCTCCAGTTTAGTGAACTGCGGATCGATCGTTTTGTTCGATCGATCGATTGTTTCTGGCTGCGTGTTATTTACTGGCCGCTGTGTCGACAGATGCCCGAGCTCGCAAACGTTAAATGTTGCAGAAAATAAATATACATGGTAATAAAGAAGAGGCATTTTGAGCACGACGAGTGACAAACTGATAAAATAATCGGCAATTCCTGATAAAAACTTTGTTTGTTTATTGTTGGCAGAAAAATATTAAAATATTGCGAAATGTTTGTATAAGTGCGTAATCCATAAAAAAAATAAATCTCATCGCGCACTTGTGTGCGAAAATAACAGGTTCGTATCATCCCATATATGTAAAAAAAGAATGTGCCTTGTATTTAAATTATTTTATAACTATTTAAATTTGAAAACTATTAATAAAGTTTTTATTTTACTTTTATTGTTTTAGCCTCCGCATAGATTCTTGATTGAGCTCTCGTATGTAATTTTTTGACGTAAAAAGTTTTTTATGCTTAAAAATTTGTTTTTCAATGTTTATCATATTTTAAATATTTTTCCATACTTGTCAGATACATTGCAAGAAACCGATTTTTCCTCAAAAGCTTAGAGTTTATAAAAATTTCAACCAAAATACTAATCAAAATACTAATATATCGAAATAATTGATTGCGAGACATGAAAAGTGTTATAAAAATGGCAAAAATAGCAAAAATATAATAAAAAATACAATCCATGTTTCCGCAAAAAATCTGTCAATACGTTGGAAATTCCAAACGATGTAATGCTCGTGGACAAATTATTTCAGAAAACACGAATTTCGGCTATTCATGGAAAAAAGTGGATGAAATGTGGCCCGTAGAAACGAACACTCGAGAATTGATAGAATCGTGTAAATAATTCCTTCTATTCCTTTACAATTGCATGCTTGTAAACATGCGGGAGGACATACATCAAATATGTGAGAGAATGACAATGATACACGAATTGGCGCCAACGATGATATTTCCCGAATATTGTTCGTTAGTCGGCGGACAAATTTCGAAGTTTAAAGCGATAGAACTAAAGTGTTATCAAGTTTTATCCAAAAAAATCATGACAATAAAGAGAAGATTTGTCGTAAAATATGACAAAACAAAATTTTTTTATAAGTTTAAAACTCATAAAATTTGTGAAATATAAATCATCAATAAACTAAAATATTAATTTTACTTCCGTTCTCTCGTGCTATTTTTGCAAAGTCATTGTCATATTTCGAAAACATGTTTTTATAAATAACAATTTCTAGTTTAAAGTAGATTACAAATTCATCAACGTATACGGTATAAACTTTCTATAACCACTTCGTATGACTTTTAAACAAAATTTTTCAATACAGAAAAATGATGGATGTAAAGCTCAAAAGTATCATTTTTCCATACGGTATATTATTGCAAAAACTTTGTAATAAAATCTTTTGGTAATCAAAAATTCTTACGCGGAAGAATTTTCGAAAAGATAAACATGTAGCGATAACGCAAAAATTTGTACAACTTTCCCATCTTATGCATAGAAAATAAAGTGCTACTCACCGTTTGCAACTGGATCTATCATAGCATTCGCCGCGTGTCAGAAAAATCAGGATTCATCTTCGGCAGCCGGTGATTGCGGCAAGCATCCTCGAGTTTCGATCCGAATCCATGACCAATTTCATATTTCACACACATATGCGACTGACGTTTACATCTGTAAACAAAAATAAGATAATAATTACGATAATATAACTGTGTTAAATCTTTTTATTTCGCAAAAATCTTATTGCAGAATGTTTTTCATACAATAGAATTTCGCACAATTTTGCACGCGTTTGCAATTTGCGCATTCTAAAACACTATGTCATTCCAAACACGTATATTCACAAATATCATATATTCCGGTTGCCACTGTGTCGTAAATTTACTGAAACGTGTAAAAAAATACGCAACGATCGATACGCTCACGCGCAAATCGAACTTTAATATAGCGATCGACTTTACAAGGGATGAAACGACGATTGAAATGATGGAAACGATCGATGACCAAAAGAGTTTTTCGTTGACAAATTTAGCTGTCGCAGGTTCACGCAGATTTCGACGAAATTTTGTATGAACAACATTTCGGACAAGCTTTGCAGCGCAAATATTTTCAAATGGTTAACAGAGTATCATAATTATACTATATTGATTTTAATAATTATTATCTGCAATCACATAAAATTATAAACAAAATTGATATACATACACCAGATACATGAATATTTACATATTTGCATGTAATTACTAATTAATACGATATGTAATAATGCTGTTCATTGCGGCATATAATAAAACAAATAAACCGTGTTTTCCTTTGGAAACTAAAATTATACAAATTTCATGTTTCTGTAGTTTAACTTGATCGATTTATATGTAAATTAACTTTTGCGAATTAAATTAAAATTATCCAACGTGTCATAATTATAAAAGCACAGATTAAATAAATTCTCTAATGATATGAAATCGTGCGGGTTTACATAAGCCTCGTTTAAAATTTAGTAATAATTCGTAATAAATCGGTATTAAAAAATCAATGTCGGGAAAGAAAATTAAGGAAAAACGAAGTAATTATTGCGAAATAATACAAAAATAAGTGGTAAAAATCAGCAATAAATTTATCCCGCGTGTCCATTAAACGCGATATAAATTCATTCAGTATAAAGTGGGCGGAAAATATCATCGTCGGCTTTAGTCAGGAAAATGTTCATTTTCAGATTTAATAATCGTCTCGTCGTTCTTTTAGTCGCTCCGTTTATTGTTCGCAAGTACGCTGTTATGCTGGCTTCGCGTAAAGGATAAATGCATTAACTATTGAATATTGCTGACAATACAATATGTAATATAATGTATAAAAAAATTAAGCGTTAATATTTTTAAAAATATAGATTTTTCGTTAATGTTGTCTCAACGATAACAAGTTTAATCAAAATATATTTAATTTGCGTTAACTGAATTATACTTTTAATCACATTTTTTAATTACTTTTGTCAAATTTTAATTTTATTTTTAATTAAACAAAACGCGTTGTGTTATAAATATAAATTAGCTATTGATAGACAAGAAAACTAATCAAAATTTTAATTAAACTGTTATTTAATCCTAGTTAAGTATTTCATCAAGACTATAGTTAGAAATCTAAATATCCTGAAATATATAAATAAATATTAGAGTTATGTTATAAAAAATTATTACGTTGGCAGTTATTATACATTGGCTGTATAATAATTGCCAACAATAATACAACAATAATACGCTTTATTATCCTCAATATCGCAATACAATATTGTCATAAATGTATAAGTGTTAATAATGTATTTATAATATTATGACAAATGCATTATTATTATTGCGTAATAATAATATTACCTTATCGTATTGAATGAGAGTTTTTTGCTGCATTAGCGATGCCAATTATCGCGTCAATTACTCGAATGTGTTATAAGTAAAGAGAATACAACTTGCTCGACTCATGTAAAAAGATAAAAAATAAAGTATGTTACAAAAATAATATAACAATTATAAAAGTCAATTAATCATGTTTCGTGTGTATATTGCTTGTATTGATTTGCTAGAAATCGAGAAATTTGACAGAGTCGATCTAAAAACTCAGATATTATTTAATCAAAAGAATAATACATTAATCATACAATTATTAAATTAAATAATTATCTGATTAAATGCATTAATTAATATCCTCTGTAATATCTGGATATTCTACACCTAAAATTGAATAAATTCTTGGCTCTTTTATTTTATCTAAATACACTCAAAAAAATGATCTTGCAATAATAGCTAAAATTTTCTAGGTGTAAAAAATTAACTAAAACAGATAAATGATTAGCAACTGTTGTGATATTGCATATGTAATTACTTAATCAGTTTAGATGACAGAAACAGAATATATATCTGTATTGTTTGTGAACTTTAAAAAGAAAGTTTCTCTAAAGCGCCTATCTATATAAGATCAATCACGTGTTAGATCATGCAATGAATAACATTTAGCAATGGTACCTAAATTTTTCAGAAGCTATTGCTAGAACATTACTGCTATAAATTCTATATGTGACAAACAATGTTTTCACAGATACGAAAAATAGCGATACATTCTTGTTGCGATATCTAGAAATCTAACTACATCAACGAAATATTTTTTGAGTGTATGACACTTCTTAACATAAACACACTTTATACGTCTATTAATACTTTTTTCTCTTTGCTGGTACTTCAAGACGTTCTTACTCTTTAAAAAGTTGCGCTGCTTCCAGTCATAAATTAATGTCTGCTTTTGTCGTAAACGATAATTGCTACCCTGCCGGACAGCACATTAAACGAGTGCAGGGACAATGAGAGCGGCGCACAAAGGCGGCCGAGTGCTACTACCGTGAGTGAAGCGAGCGACAACGAGCGAACGTGACTTCTAACTAGAGAACCGCCGGGAATATGAAGCGAAAGGTTAAAAAGGTGAAACAACCGTCGAGAGTGTGGCGGTCAGCATTGCAAGCATTCACAATTGCGCCGCGTAAAAGTCTTGATATAAAATCAGTTTCTTGAGCAAGACGGAAGACGTAAAGCGCAAAAATATAGTCGCAATGTTATTCCGTCGCAAGACGAAAGCTGTATTGCTTTGGCAAGCACGAAAGAAAATACTACAGAAAAATAATTAAAAGAAAACGAGACCCATTCTAATTGCCTCCAGAAATTTCAAAAAATAATATTTTTTAGAAAAAGATCCGTAGCGATAGTAATTTCGTAGAAAATTACCACGCGCGCTGCTAGTATAATTTGCAATTAAGAGTCGTGTTGTATTTGCTGATTACAGTGGTTTCGGCGAAATTTACAGTGCACTTGTATCCAGCATTCAAGAGTTCGATACGCCGCATTTCCGACATTGCGGCAAATTCCATGAAATAAAAAGTACCAATACGATTGGCCGAGATCAGCCACTTCTTCCACGAAATTACATGCACTTCCGCGCCGCGACGTCGGTCGGAAATTGATTTTACTCCCGCGAAATGAAGCGCGATAAGGAGATTCGTGAGAAGATTTCCAAATTCCGACAGACGAACGTCCGTGAATTAAGTGAATTACTGAGAACAATATCATAAAAACAAAGTTTTTTATAGTATCTTTCATGGCATAGTTTTGATGGCATTTGCCCAAGAAAATGCAAATACAAGCAAATTTTTACGATTATTATTTCAATTTATAAAGAAAATTATGTCAAAACGTAGAATTGTGTGTGTCAGATGACCAGCTTCTTGCTGCTTGACGATAATTTAATTACTTGAGAGCTTCTCAATATTGATCATTGATCCATTTTCAGATTGCGTAGTAATCAATAATCTTTGGTATGTGTTGTTTAAACATATTAATAATACCGTGCAGTGAAATTGTTACATCACCTGCTTCTATTAATTCCTGTTTTCAACACCAACATCAGATTTGCATTTACTATCGTATTTGCGACGCTAATCGCTCGTTCTGTCCTTCCACCAACCGTAATATCTCATTGTTTTATTAAGTCTGACACTGTGCGATTTCTATTGTCCGAAAATACTCACGTGCATAGTGAACATTTGAGATTATTCAACAGATTACAAGCAAGAGCTTTCGAAATTCCAAATATATGTTTCAAAACCTGTGCAATAATAAGCAAGTGAATGGCACATAAAATAAAAAGCAATGTTTCTTTTGGCTAAAACAAATTCTTCACATCAAGTATAATCAACAATGAAGTCCGGCATTAGAATTCTGTTAATGCAAAGTTTATCAATGTAATGAAAATTGAGCTTTTATTCTTTATCATTTCAAAATCTATAATCCGCGCAAACTGAAATAATTACAATAAAGTCAATAAAATAGTTTAAAATAATTACGATCGCAGTCCGATTTAAATTTCAATGGAGCTTTCAATCCGAACGGAGAATACTTTTCTGCCATTATATCAATTTCCGAAAGAAAAGCTGGCGTTCTCGCCACGCGAACTACGGATTGTTACGGAGTGACGCTTATCGAGATTACGTAAGCAAGGTAAATTAGTCACGCTGCTGTTCTTGGCAGCGCCCTTATTTGCGTAGTGCCCGCCCATAGAATTCAATAGATTGCCTATAACGGTGTAAGTTACGACGAAGGGAGCGACTTATCGCGAGGGGCAGAGCTGCGTAATAGAACCGACGGCGGAAGACCTCTCTGCGAGAATAAGATTTCGCGGAAATCGACAAGCGCGAGGATAAATCCGTACTTCTTACGCGTATTTCCCTTTTATATCCGTCCCTACGAATGCCGCGCGCGACCCCACTTGCAGTTAATGAGTTTTGAAATTAATTCTTTTATTCTCAACGATGAGATTTCACTTCTGGCGAAGTGTGCTCGCGGAAACGACTATATCGTAACATATTTTAATATTCGAGAATACCACTGGCATGTTCGAGGAATGGCGGCTATTATAAATTTAAAGTTAAGCCAGGTCACACGGTGAATTACATCTCGTTATCAGCATGCCGCAAAGTGATATTAATATCGTGAACCAGAACAGTGTCGTTCTGCAAGATAAAAGCAAGGGAATGTGGCATGTTACAGGTGCCTTTTATCTTCCGTGGCATAATATTGCTCTCCTGTAATGGCATCGATATTTCACTTCGATAATACGCCGATGCATAAATATATTCCTTT